GTGTTTGACAATTGTATGAAGTTGTTTTGAATTCCAACCAGTAGTTTTCAAGTTATGCCCCGGACAAGGAAAAGTAACAAAGGGCAATAACTCTGTAATTAGTCAAGATAGAGTTATGGTTCTTGTGCACTGCACTTCCTCTCAATGTGCTTGACCATTGTATGTAGTTATATTGAATTCCAACCATTAATTTTCAAGTTATGCTCCGGACAAGGAAAATGCAACGGACGTCTGGACCGACCGACCGACCGCCCGACCGACCGACCGACCGACCACCGGGTGACTCCTATATACCCCCCCCCCCCCAAACTTCGTTTTTGGGGGTATAATTATTACCCGTCCTTAAAAAATTTGGGACGAGTTAGACAAGGACCGAGTTGAATTGGATTTCTTTCACACGATGTTTGCATAACATAAATCACTAATGGGAAATACAATGGAATAAAGTATTTGTTATACAACATTGCAATTATTTTTCAAGGTATAGTGAAATATAAACAGTGAATATCACACAGTCGTATTCAACAGTGAACAAAATTTCGCAATCTTAACCTGGTTACCTTCTCATTATGGCGATTACACCAATACGGGAAAATGGCGTACATGATAAAAAAGTATGTATTCATAGGCATGCAAAGTTCTTACAATATATTTGCACTTTTGAAGCATTTTAAAGCTTATCTGATTTGAAAAAAAAACCCAACAAATTGCAATATTTTGTTAGTTGTTGCGTTTTATGATAGACAGTTCACTTCTGACTAAATAATGTTGGTGCTTTATTTATGCACGTTCTTTGACTCTCTTAGGATAGGATTTAACTCATTACAGGGCTGGGGCAGTACCTCCAGTCGCTTGCAAAAATCATGATCACAAAATAGAAAAATATCATTTTCCGCGATTATTACATTTTTCCTGTATACCATGGCAAAGGTTTGGACCTATTTTGTCCAGCTTAGATAGCTTATAAAGATGTGTTCAAAATGTAATTAAGCGCCCCCAAAAATGAAAATAGAATTTAAGAAAATATCTTTCCACGTTTATGAATAAGTCCAAATATAAATTATGTTGTTTCAACTATAAAGAGTGATAAAACAAACCAATATATTAAAAAAATTGAAAAGTCGACCGAGTTGGAAAAGGGCCGAGCTGACTCGGGTGCCGTGTACGGTTTACGGCCGAGCTGACCCTGAATCGATGTAATGCACTACAATTTACAGTCTATCAAGCGAAATATATCAATAGCTTTACCAGAATGTGACGAAATCTTGATTCTACATACGGAATAGTTTGAAACTAAAATATCAACGTAATACAACGTAATAAAATATAAACAATAAACATCTTTGACTGCATTTTTGTAATCAGCCAAATATAGGTCGTTTTCCTGACGATTTTACTACTGATAAATGCAAGAAAAAGCAACGAAGTTACTTAACAGTTATGTATAAATGAGATTAAGTGTTCGTATAATAAAACTTACAACTCTTTTAAACACCTGGGACTTCCTGATCGATAGCAAATTTTCTCAATCTTTGTCGGAATAACTGGCCAAGACGGCGATTGCGGGAAAATGACAGCACAGGGAAAAAATAGTTCGTATTCATACGCATAAAATTTTTCCTCTGACATTCATACTTTTTTAAGCATTTTAACCTTTGAAGTTATCTAATATGAAAATCGAATTCCATTTTTTCCTGAATTATTGTGTTCTATGATAGTTAGGTAACTTATTACTTAATAAAATTAACAATTAATTTATGCACGTACTTTGACTCCCATGCATCGGGAACCAGAAGATAGAAAAATAAACTGGTTCTCTTAAATTTTTATCGACCGCTGGTGCAGTAATTTTCAAATCCCGTAAAGCAATGATATGTGTAATTTTTTGAAAAGGATTTAAAATTTAGTAATAAAATGACCAATCAATTTTAAAATAGATAAGGTATTATGATTATCTGAATATTATTGCAAAATATTGGAACTATTTTTGCTCAGCGCAGATAGCCTAGATGCGTTTAAAAGGTAGTAATCTGATTGTATCGTAATTACAATGGGGCGCAGTGCTTGCGCCCCAAACAATATTACACTATTAGTGTTATAACACTTTGACGTGTCTTTCTGTTATAGATAAATATAGCGTTGAAGCGCGCTAATGTTAGCATTACACTATAGGCTGGCAATAAAAATGACTCTTTTTAACATTTAACCGTTCTTATTTTATATATGTGATAAAGAAAGAATAATATATTCGTGTAGATTCAATACAATAAATTTATTGAACTCGTTGACTAAAACAATGTTATGCTCGTCAGAGGCTCGCATAATGTGACTTTATTAAACTAAATTCAAAACTTTTAGTATACATCATTGACTCAATAAATATCCTCTATATATTCAATATTCTTTCAGCTGAATTAAAAACACCGGAATCTTGGTATATATAGAAAGCTAGCATTTTAGAATTACCGAGTGCACTTGTGCTTTCCTTGAGCAAAAAATCTTCAATATAAAAGGGTCGGTCTAGTTCGGTGTCGCAGTAATATAGGCTACAATCAGCGAGGATAGATAGGAAGATTGATTCAATAACTAAAAGCCCTTGAAATACATGCATGATAACGTGCATTTTATCTGTTATCTATTATTACAGATGTCAACAGTAGTTCAAACACATTCTTTCATGCTCATGCATATACAATGTTGAATGCAGTATGCTTTATTTACTATTATGTGATACTTTTTGACGGTAAATTTCTAAACTAAACTCTTACTTATTTTAAATATATTATATAGTATCAGAGGTTCATGTAAACTTAAAGTAAATCAAACCAAACGGCACGTTACCTCATTTTAAAATCAATTTGTTGTACAAAAATGTATTTATAGTACAAACTATGTGCAGATAAAGTGCGTTTTATGCCTACAAAGCTCGGAAATACCGATTCCATTACAGGGATCATACCTTCAAGTAAATTTTAAGTGTGACAAAGACTAAGGATATCTTTTAACTTACTTAGTAGGTACATGCATACAAAAAACTTCTATTGGCACCTGAACAATTATAAACTCGTAAAGCAGAGATGTAAATTAAAAAAGTATGGTTAAAAAAGTTTTGACATAACATTTAATATAAAGAAAATTTAAAAAGAGTGTAGAATATTTAACAGGAAGAAGCACCGTTTACATATTTCAAATATTCGAATTATCTTAATTAGAAAATTTGTTTCCGATACTCCTTTAGATTATTTAATAATTTGGACGTGTATTATTTTAAGGAAGATCATTTATATCATTATACTAATAAAAGAATGAATAATGAGAGATCTCCAGATTTCAGTTTGTAATTTTCAAATGACCAATGAAAATCCAAATCATTCAGGTCTTCACTGCAAACTTAACAAGAAATCAAACCGTTCTCAGGTAAAATAACCCTAAGCCTCCTAAGAGCGATCGCTAAAAAAGTCTTGCAAGCAAAACATTTTGAAGCTGACAAGATACGGAGTATTTTAGCGCCTCCGGTCAAGTACGAATATGCTTGACAATCGCCTTTTTTGATTTAAAGAAACTTAGATGAAATACGTAAAAAAATATGGCAGACGACATTGCAGCCCATGGCATTTCCCCCCCGAGTACAAACGGTTACGTATAAAACCTTATTACATGATCTCATTATAGCTTCAAACTCATTTGCCCAAACAGTAGTCAACAGATTTACAAGTAAAATGGTTTCCTGCGGGGAACATTTTTGATGATATAAAGATATTTCATTTAACTATCTTCAACATTGTTTGGGTGGGTGGATAAATAAACGTTTGCATCAGGAATATAGTTGACAATAATCGATCAATATAGAAGAAGGTCTTTGGAAACTGGTGACCGTTAATGACCGGAGAAGGTCGAACATTATTTCTTTTTAAGAAAATGATTAAATAGGCCTACCATTTTATGAATAATTACGAGCAAAAAAAAAAGCAAACACAAGTTTTCGCAGAAAACATCTCTATCTATTATGGCAGATGCCACTACTGCCACTACGAATATTTTAATTTTGTAGATTTTCAGTATAAACAATTTATTAATTGTAACATTTTGAGATACATATTAAAGAAACATTGATAATTTTCAAACACATCATTCAAGTTTTTCCACCTTAAACGGTATTATAATTATAGAAAATTAAATATATCACGTAATGGTTTTTTGTTCTTAATTAGGTGTTATTCTGACTAGAGGATTATCCGTAACGTACCGGCAAACGGTATTTAGCCAGGTTTTCGAAAAGGTCAATTAACCAATCATGTACGGTTTACAGATCACATGCTCCTCCATGTACCGAAAACAGGTTACGTGCTCCTCCATGCCTCAAAAGTTAAACGCGTACCAATACCCTGCGGTCTCCAGACAGCAGGGAATAAAATCTCATTCACTGGGTGTATTATCATATTCACTGAGTGAATTGGATTTTCCCAGTCTGGAAATAGATTGATGCTCATATCTAGTGAACATACACCGAAGAGTGTTTTTTACGCGTGCATATCAAATACAATTGTTGCATTTTGTTCTTTATTTGATATTTCTCGATTAAATTCCATTACGGTACTAAAATAGTTAAAGGTACATAACAAGGCTGAGTATAAACTTGAATTACTTTTGTTTGCTTCCCTTTTCCCGCGCTTCAATGAAAACAGGAAAAAGTTGTGCTTTGTATTTCCTTATAAGGCTTTACTGTATGTGTCTTTTTATTTCAACCTTATGATAAACATGTTATAAAATAATTATTGACCAGTCAATATGTCATCTGCCGATGCATATGACATCATATAAAATGCAGTTCTGTAAGATATCTAATTATAAGACAATATTGCATCTATTTTAACACAATTTATTTTCAGGTCTAACACAAGTCATGAAATAACGCTATTGCAACAAATCATACAAATTATTACAAAATATATACAGTAAAAACTCTGAAAACCGGACCCTGTCAGGATTTGACCAAAAGTCCGGTTTTCAGAGGATTCCGGTTTTCAGAGGTTTTATACATTAATTGATAATTGTATTGTGTGTTTGAATATTGACTTAAAATATTCCAATCATTTTGTAACTACTTTTTAATTCTTTTGTATAGATCATTTTTTCATTTTTTTTCAATAAATGTCCTAAGCTTTTTTATCATTTCACTCAGAAAATTAGAAATTAAAACAAACATTTTCTAAAGTATAACTTTTTAATTGGCTTTTGAAATATGTCATTAATGGAATGAATTATTAATATTTTTGCATAAAATTAATGCCCGAATAAAGATAGCTTTAAGATCAAAATTTTACGAGTGTAGGACAAAATCCCTCCCGGACAAAAGCCCTCCCGTCCAAAAATGACAAGGCGGACAGAAACCCTTCTGTGAAAGTGACAGGGCGGACAAAAGCCCTCCCGTAAAAATGACAGAGCGGACAAAAACCCTCCCGTAAAAATTACTGGGCGGACAGAAGCCATCCCGTGAAAATAACAGGGCGGACAAAAGCCATTATTCATCGTTTGAAAATAATCTTGAACGCTTAATTCAATCGTACACATATCGTCTGTGCCAAATTAGCATAGTAAGGTATTATGGAATTTTAATTGGAATTAATGGAACTGTAATTCTTTTTCGAAACATTTCCAATGTAAAATAGTGAGAAATAAAGAATCTGAAATTGAAAACGTTGCATGTTCGTTTTGATTGAGCCTGTTCATGGACGGTAGTGGAAAATGCAAGTTACCGTCCACGCCCCTAGCACCGGCGCAAGCAGTTTTCAATATTTAACATTAAATAATAAATTTGTAAAGTTGCTAGTATTAGACTGCATTTCAAACTTGTTATTTTCAAAGAAAACCTACACCATCTTACTTATGAACCAACAAATTGTAACGACATGATTTATAGGCATTTTGTTTTCGTGGAAGGCAGTTTTCTATATGATGAAATTGTACCTTAAACATGAGTATGTATGCTTATCAATATTGTTAACAGGACACATAACACAACTGTATGCGCTAAGATGCTTTAACGTTTAATAATGAATCTGAATTTTTTATTGATTAAGTTATTTTATGTCCCGTTTGAACAGATAAGAATGAAGAGCGTTTTCAATGGTTGTTAAAAGCAGTGACAACTCATTCTACACAGTATACTCGCAATCGTATGGTAAACGTGCTATTCTTTAAAATGTGTTTCGACAAATGTCAGTAAAAAACTTTTCTTAATTCAGAAAACAACTATATCATCTTGGGGATATGCCTTATTCAAGAAAGTCAACAGCCACAATTGACTGATTTCCTGTTTTCATATCCTTTGCTTCAACAACTATTTCTGTTCCGCTGAATGTGAAGGCAACTAAAACCTCCCGATCCAATGCCCCATTATGATCTTCTAAGTCAATCTGCAAATTTCCAATCAAAGAACATCCCTCGTCTGTATAAATTGGGTTTGGCCTGTCCGATGCAAACACAGAAAATGACATCTGTTTTTGAGATTTAAATTGAGGACTGTAGGTACGCCAGACTTGTGGTTCCCCAACTTTAACCTTCTGATCAACTTCGGCATGTTTGCTAAACACCTTCTGACATACCGTTCCTTTGTCCGTAATGATACGTTTACTTAGTGGGTGACGTCCTGGTACGAACATGTCAAATGTCTCTATCCCATACGTATATTTTAGAACACGTTCAGTAACGACTTTTGGCAAGTGGCCGAAAATTAGAGCCCCTTTAAGAACGCAGCCCGAAGTTTCATCAGGAACAATAACATCTATTCCATTAAATCCTGATTTCACGGCATTCTGCAAAATTAGAGACTCAGAAAACCCACCAACCATTAAAATTGCCGAAACATTAACATGTCTTTTCGCTATAATATCTTTAATCATGTGTACTGTTTTGTCGACAGAAGTTTTGAACCAAGATCTTGCAAGTTCTGATGAAAAGTTAATTTTGTCCCTGACGATTTCGATGTCATTACTATTTTTTGAATTTTTCAAAACATTGGCAAATTCTTCTTTTGTGACAAGGACATACCTTTGAATAAGTAAGGATGGAATTCTCATTCTTAATTGTGAATCTGAAAAAGGAGAAGAAATCTGTCTTTTCTTGACCTCAAAGTCTCTCCAGATATCAAGCCAGTCGTCTGCGTTATGTCGTTTGAACTGCTCGTAAACATCACTTGAGACTAAAGTTACTAATAACCGCTCGAATTGTTTATCAACGATTGTGCTACCCCATCCACCTCCACTTGATGCATGTATTTCTTTTATATTGTTATCATTATCTACCTCATGTACTGTTATATCAATCGTTCCACCTTAAATTTAATAATATAAATATCGCATAATATGACTCAGACAAAAAGGTACTAAAAATAGGGTAATTTTATAAACAAAGAAAAAGAGAACATTTTTTATGGTATAAAATTATAGATTTTCAAAGACCTTATCTTCATTATTCACTTTACATTCTTCAGAAAAGATATTCTTCTAATATTTTTAGCTTACACATAAAAGTTAAACCGTGCTCATCCTAAGTAAACTACATGTATTTTAATATCAGAAATTTATTAAAAGCGATGAAATTCTTACTAAAGATGTCTATTTTGAATAAAAGAATAAACTATGTATGGGAAGCTGCGTGTCCTACTCAAGTTAAAGTAAAGATGGGCTTTTCTTAAGAAAAACTGCCAGTTTTTTAAATGTCACTATATATTCATTTTATAACCACCTATAGTTGGTAGAATTTAAACATAACATATCTACCTTGTGTCAAAACATTTTTATTTCATATTTGAAAAATACTGTGTAGCAATTATGAATATTTTAAGTATATCGTAACAATTTATGTTCACTTTACACAATATTGATTTTCCTCAACTATTATTTGACAATTTAACTGTTTTGAGATAATTGTACAATAAAATATGTCTTTTCCTATTTAACGAAGCTTTGAGACGCTGTATTTGAAAAATAAGCAATACAAATGATGTTAGCAAATGAATCAATCTGCGTCAATATGAGTCATTGTTCTTTTGAATTAGAAAAGATAAATCAATAATGATGATAATAATAATAATAATATTTTGAAAACGAAGGATAAAATTATTTCAAGGATATAATTAGTTTATGCTGTTCCAACAATGACAACAAGTTAAGTTAACTAACAATTGTGTAACAATATATATTCATTCACATACCCCCTGCATCTAGTACCAGATACTGCGTTCCAGTTGATAACGAGGAAATCGTGACACCCGTGTTAGAAGTGGTAGCTTGTATTGGTAAGTTACGACAAAACATTGAGGCAGCTTCTGGTTCCAAAGCTATTGTTAGTCTTTTTGTCTTGATTCCTGCCTTAATGATAAGTTTGTAATCATTTTATTTAATTTTCCTCGATCAGTTCTTTATGATAAGTTACATTTTATTTAACTTTATTTAATATTATTTTGACTAAATGGCACATAATTACTAATAGGTGAGGTTTCTTTTGCAGCATCGCTAAATTGGCTAAATCATAATACGGCATACATAATGTTATTTGAAGGATGTTGCTTCATTAAATATGATTGATAACAATAAATAAAATAAGCTTGTAATGACCGTTTTAATTTTAAATCTTGATAATTGATTACCATTATGGCAGCTTCCCTCATAAACTGTTTAGATCCATCGGTCCAAATAGCAGGTACTGTTAATACCCAATGAATATCATCCAAGTTGATGTATCCAATATGTTTGTTAGGCAAAAAACCTAACATGTCGTCTTTGAGAAACTTGATGCTCATTGCAAAAACGTCCATAGCACGCAGCGGTCTGTTCATTGCGTCTTCTAGTGTAATGTTTCTATCTAGTTTCTATAAAAAAGCAAACAGCTCACCTGAAACTTATTGTGCGATTAGAGTATTGTATTTGAGCAGAGCAAAAACATTGATATCTCTTAAAACCACAAAAATATAAACGTGCATGTCACTATAGTCAATCTAAGTATTGACCCTGGTATCAAGGTATTTCTAAGTAATTTCCATACATAGTTGATTATTAAATCAAAAATTAAAGTATTTGATTCTTTCTGACAAGACAATTAATATGATTTGCAGACTTACATTTGAAAAATCTTAAGAAAAAATATTTATAATACCTCTCCAAGCTTTATGTTTAGGGACATCTTGAAACGCTTAAAGTAATAGAAATCCTTATGCTTTTCTTTTGCAGCTAATTCTTGATATTTTTCTTCAGCTTCATATCCAAAAGCTTCGACTGTCTTTCCGTCTGGTCCTATTAGAATACACGTGGGGGTCTTTTCTGTTTGGCAAGAGCCTGAGTTCCAATGTTTCGTAACAGCCTTTGTCCGATCTGAGTCGAAGTTTGCACGAAGAGAATAAGCCCAACCAGAGAAAGTAGTACCAAAATCAATTGCAGCTACAATAGCTGAATTATGAGCCTATTAGTAAAGAAAAAATAAATTTATGTATTTTTTCCTTTGTGTTAAACGTTTATCGGACTCAACTGAAGTTTTATACATGTTAGTGTGCAAATGTTTGTCCGAGAGTTATTTACTATTCGATTTTGGTTTTGGACAGATCGCTTGTGGGAAATAGTCAGACCATTCTCTCACTCTTTTTTTCCAGAGTTTTTTTTAAATCGTGAAACTTGAAAAAAATGAGACACATAGATAATGAAAAACATTAAGTGTTCTTTCATTTAAATTAATTGTGAGTATATTTATTTATTGTACATGTATTTGCATTTCCCGCCCACCTGCAGCTAGACTCAGGGAGTGCTTAGGGTTAGTTATTAAAGGCCCGAGCAGCAGTAAATTTTCCGTAACAATTGCTCTCTGACATTGAGCCTAATGCTGGATGTGCATATATACGTCATCCGTTTGCGACATTCCGACTATCGGACACATGTTTTAATCAAGATATTTTCAATATATCGTATTCCATCAACTACACACAGCTCGAATTACTTATCTCTTTCATTTTTTGTTTACATCAATATTGATAAATAATGCTGTCGATAATTCTTACATAAAATCATATCGTTTATCGCCTAAATCTTTATCCATCTAAACACTTACTCATTTTATCCGTTCTGCGTAATAGTGTAGCGGCTGTGTGTCGGCTTCGTCAGTCTAGAGACTCTTGTTCGATTTCTGGAGGAGTCATTTTCTTACATTTTTCTTGTCTTATATTTTTTGTTTGAAGGTATTTTTCAACCAACCGGATATTACTTCCTAATAAATCTATTTTTACACCCATTCGCATCCAACAGGTTAAGTTACAGGCAACACAGTTGTGATAAGAGTGATAAATGAGGAATGGAAGAAGATATACAAATGAGCAAAAAATGTTAAATGTTAAATAATGTAGCAAATTGAATTCAAAGTTTTAAATAGAATTAAATTTACAATACTTGTAAATCTGTTCCGTGACTATTAAAATAAAATACATTCAATTTGGCTTAACCGTTAAAAGTCTAATTTTAAATTGTACAAAATAGTAAATCACAGGTTTATAAAAGAGAATATGAAAATGTTTTTGAAAGTAAAAAATATATTTTGCACATTTGCATATTTGAACTAAAAAAAACAGCATTTTCTTAACTTAAACTCGTCATAATCTGAATTATCTAACCACTACGCTACTCGGATTTACGTGTCCATACCCACTTTTATTCATCTAAATAAAATGCCAAATTTAATAACTGAATTACTTACACAACTCATTATATCATAAAGTACGAATGATTAATGAAAACGTTATCGTGTTCGACTTATATCTCGTACCAGGCATTGTTCGTAAATCTGACGGGTAAAGAACGGCGCTTGCAGCTTTCTTGTTGTCTCTGGAAAAATCCAGTTTCATATGCTTGGATCGGACACATGGAAATGGGGTTCAATTTGCAATAAACGCACACGTCAATCGCCAACGGATAACGCAGACTTAATGTATATAAATTATGTAAACCTGGCTTAAAGCACATCACTTTATCAGAAATAATATGGGCTTTGTAGTTAGTCACTCGCAAAAATATTGGCAATTACTGGTAATTTTTTCTGGAATACCGGTTAGGTGGACTGACAGACGAGATTTGACCTCATATGTTGAAATCGGTTAAAAGAAACAAAAAACAAACTACCAACAAACAAACATTCGTTTTGGGTGCCCCATCCGATATACAGTATGGCATTATTTTTTTTTAAATTCCAAGGTTTTATTTCCTTCAAAGCAATTTCTTTTATTAATTCAAATACCTAATTCGCAGTTTTTTTATTTTTTCAAAAAATAAGGTAAGTCAACTTTCTTTCATTTGCCAGGATCCTCAACATAAACATGTTTATATAGAACATGAAATTTACCAATAATTTTTGCATTTTTCAGTATGCCTATGGAATTTATATGATTTTACCACATGGAATACAATTGTTATTTAAACCTACCATATCAATCTTTTCAATCTGACCAAAACCAAGACCAATTATAACTGCTCCTTTTAAAGCCGCTTCGATGTCATCTCCATAAAATACGACATCCTTGTTGAACAAAGTCTTGTTTACTCCATTCTTCAACATTGGTAGTTTCGCGAACTCTCCAAAGACAACGACTGTATCAACATCAGCTGAAGTCAACATGGCTTGGTTTATATCATATATGACCCGTTGTACGGATGGATCAATAGTAGTCTGCATTAGTTCAGTGGTAACACATACTTTATCAGATGAAACCGAAATGCCTTTAAAGGTTTCTGATTTTTGTGTTGATGAAAATTTTTTTGAGCGCAGATCTTTCTTTAAGTCTTGCAAGAGAGGTGATGGGAATTTCATCCTGACAATAGATGTTGTTAATGGATAAAACAAGAATGCTTTCTGTAGGAATTTATTTTTTAACTGCAGCCATTCTCGTTTTGATTCTGACTTAAATTTCATACATCTGTCCTGTCCAAATAACTTCTTGAATGCTTTCTTTAACACTTTGCCTCCCCCTTCTTTTATTTCAACAGCGGTACTTTCTTTTACTATCCCAAGATCTGTAGACTCATGTACAACAAAGGTTGTAAAATAGCCTATAAATATGCAATGAACAACCTATGTAAAAATCAAAGAACATCTGCATTATAAATATTATCAAATTATTGGTATATTCCTTTAAAAGGTGCAAAAAATGCCAAAAAAAAAGAGAAATATTTTAATGTCGACTTTTTAAAAATGAAATCATATGATAGAATTTAGTCCACAACTTTTAAAAGTTTACAGGATAATATATTAAAGACAGTTGGTGCTGCAAAAATCCAAACACAGGGAGAATAACATTTTATATTTTCATTTCGTACTTAACCTATCTTAATTTCTCATCTAAAAACACTAAAGTGTGTTTGCAAATGCAAATGCTTTATCAAAACTTAACTAAAAAGCCATCAGCAGTAAAAACCATAAAAAATATTTATATTGTATATTTGAATTTATTTGAATTTTTTTCATGAATAACCTACTTCCAGCATTGACAATCATGAATTTCTTTCCAATGATAGACTTCTGGTTATGTGTTTCTTTCTGGTGAAACAAAGATACCGCGTCTATCTCAGTTACCACAGCTAGCTGTTTCACATTTATTTCAGCCTATAAAAAACATTATAGTTATGCTTAAATAATGTAAATGATTCCTGCCATAAAATAAATGAGCCGTTCTCCAGAAAAACCTGCAATTATGACCAAAATATCGAATTTGAGGTTTTGAGCAATTATTCAAGTATCATCATTTTCCTGTAGAATGCAAAAGAAATTTTGAAATTATCTCAAAAGTTACCCGAGATACAGCCTTTCGCGATAAGGCACTGTCATGTACATAATCATGTAGAAATAAATCTTATAATATACCTCATATGAAATTTTATAAGCAATTGAAAACAAGTACAACTAGGTATACATGTAGTTTGTAATGTATTCATTATACTTGTAACAGAAACCATTAGATAATAACATAAAAAATCATTATAACAGGAGTCGGATAATGTTTTTTCTATCCGTTACCATGGTAACATGAGTGTTCTAATTAAAACTTGTCTAAGGCTCTCCTGGACATGTTTCATCTTGAAATATAGGTCGCACATAGGGCCGAACTGTGCTGTAAAGATATCTGCGTCGGGCAGCAGACATTCCACCTGGTTGGAGTACTTGTGGCAAGTGTCCCCGTTCAAACTGAAAGTTGTTTGATTTCATGATGGAGAATGTCTCCTCGGCTTTTTCGCAGCTCTCTTTAACAACCACCATTCCAGGATGATCTCGGCTCATACGAAAATATTGATACTTTCTGAAAGGGGTAAAATATACATGTTAATGTCATTATGAAAATTTGTATTATAATGATAACTATAGAAGCACTTTAAGGATTAAATTTGTTCAATCAAGATGATAAAATGTTATACTTAACATGTATAGTCAAACATATGTTAGATACTACCTCTGAATAGGAACCACATGACCACATGTTTTGTTTCAAATTATCACATTCAAAGTGCAGTGTGTTTAACCTGTAAATAAAGACCACCCGTCAATAAAGACCACAGACCATACCCGATTGATCTTTATATATAAGTTTGACTGTAATGTATGCACTTCATAGTTATGTTCAAGTACATTTTACAATATCTCTTTACTTAAGCTGACAAAAACGCAAAACTGTACTTTTTACTCTTAAATTACCTGATGCCTTGGAGCGGTTTGAAGTACGTTTTCAGAAATCCTTTCCAGTCTCGCCATGTCCATGTAGGGTAACGGATACACTGGCTTGTAGATGATGATTGATTTACAACTTCCGTAAGTTGGCCAAGAGCATCCGTGTCTGTCCTTCGGTAAAGTTGTTTTATGCGGGCAAAGCCAGCATCAACATGGCAGCGAGCGTGACCAGGTATCTGCATCATATACTCAATCTTCTCCTGACGTCCAGACGTCCAGACAGAACACGCCACATTAAATATCCCAGCATATAGTAGTTTTTATTCTGTCCTGAAATAGAAATAAATACAGTAAAAAAATTAAAATAGTTGCTGTACTATGTTGAGTTTAATTAGATGTGGTAATTAAATCTTGCAAATTCACATTAAAAATCATCAATATTTGTTATTATTATGATAATATTATGAATATCATTGTGTGAAAACGTGTGATAAGGTTGCCGACTTTTATTATTATTAACCCTGCGCCATCTGCAGGAAAAGTTTAACAGCCTTTAAAAACATATTTTTGAATCAGATGATAGGCCATTTCATCAGGTTCCAAGACGCTTGTCACTGACAATGCTTCTTACAACTTTGAAGCAAAGTGGATTAAAGCAGACGACATTTTCAGCAGACAACAATTTTTTCATGTTGAAGATTTATGTTTCAGAATATTTTATGCTAATTGAATTTAAGAACAAGGTTTGTGATATAATATCGGTTGACTTGTATTTCTTTGATAACTGACTATGAACAGTATTGTTCATATAATTAACAGTATGTGTACGAACCGATAGAAAGTGCTATTAAAAGTTATTCATATAATCACCAAAGTACATTTAAGTATTGAACTAATTTGTAGCAAAACAGTGTTGTTTTTTTTTTACAATTTATGCACACGTGCATGCATGCACGTTCAACGTATAACGCAATGAGTGATGAATTATTACAAAACGCCATTTTGCTATAAATAATTAAGTAAATAATTTCAATAAATTTATAAGGCACTTTATGACGAACATACCTGGGCAATTATCGGCATGTAGTGAAATTGTTGGTCCCTCCGCATGGTCCCTTTCTATCACCCAGTCCACCATACTGATAACAGCGTTAGGTCCGTGAGTTTGAGTACCATCAGGGCCAATAGTCTCATTCTCGTCTACAAGGAAGTTGTATTGTGTTGATGTTCCGTCATTGCGTACACCAAACAATTGCACTTTGCGCAATGTCATAAAATAAGTTGGCCCCATCTGTCTTGAATGGTGTGGTAGCGATAAATTCTGGCTGAAATCAAAGGTGAAATGACAATGTCGCCTGTCCCCTGTCTCAAACAGATCTTTAGCATTTGCAATGCATTTGTTGTAGACTTCTCTTTCTTTTTGTGCATTGACAATGTGCTCTCTAAGATTTGCGGTGCCCTGCAATTTTTCATCCTCGGTTCTGGAATCCATCACAACTTTCCTTAATTTTTCACAAGTTGCACAAACGTCGTCGCGTGGAGATGCAATTTTGATGTGTGGTAAACATTGCTTCCAGATGTTGCAGAAAGTTTTATAATGAACAGCCCTTTTTGTTGGTACAGATTCAGGGCATGATGTTTCGTATTTCTTGTGAATATCAAGTTTTGTAGTAGCACTTGGTAAGTAAACTGGTGGTATGTTGTCTGATCCACGTGGTGCAGCCGGTTGTGGTATACCTATGTCTTCAGCAGTTTGGGAAACATATGTCACCGCATGTTTAATATCTTCAAACTTTAAAGATTTGACAGGTTTTTTCCCTTTGTTGCCGTGAATTCTTTGAACCACACCATGCTGATCAACATGTGTTAGGATATTTTGAAGAGCGCTCCGCTTGATATCAAAGACCAACATAAACACAGTCCTACACACTGGTTTCCCCACTAATGAAAAGTCATGGTGACCTTTCTGACGTTTCTTCCCGCGCTTTGTCCAATTCATTCTGAGGGCTGTTTACTACAGTTGCCATTATATACAGTTCTTTATCTTGCTTTTCCATTTCCCTAATATTCAATATGTGATCAAAAATGTCAGAAATAGTAAACTGTTTAATGCAGTTTTTCTTGCACCCACAACCATTCTTATGATAAAGGGTAATTCTGTTCACGTCTTCGTCATTTTGGGGCAGCTCACAATCAACTTCTGCTTCACCCTCGCTGTCACTAGTAACAGAAGCCCCTGTTATGTCATCTGGAAGCGTGTCTATGTAGTCTTGGACCCGCTGATCAACATCTAACTCGGGATCATCTTCGTCCGAGTCTAAACACAGGGTAGATACATCAACCTCCTCCTGCGATCCCCAGGGTGTCGAAACAGGCGTCACACCAAAATGCTCGGAAAGCAAACTCTCCAAATCCTGTAAGATAAATAAATCCGGTGAGTACTGACAATTATGACAAAACATACAGCTTCTGCGCTAATTAATGGGCTAATATAAAATAAAAATATTTCAGTCACTGCAGAATACAAATTTTCCTTTAATATACAAATGCTTAACCACAAAAAATCATACACAGACTGCATTTTATTTCTGAAACAATTAAAGGTTAATTTGCTTGATAAAAAATTTAATTTTACACAGAATTTAATTTTACACAGAATTCTACATAGCAGTTTATAAAATATGATTTTCTTTTTAACTAAAAAAAAAAAAAAAGAAAAGAAAAAAAAAGTTCGCGCGTCAGGATCGAACCAGCAAAACACTGACTACGAGTTATTGACACTAACCCCTCGGCCATCACAGCATTCGTGTTCAGTACTGTATAAATTAAGTGATTTAACCTTAATCGCTCAGATTTAGATCAATAGCATACCCATTCCGAACCAAAACCAACTAAATTTTCTGAAGTTTTAATAAAACTTATCTTCGTTGAAATATATTGACATTATTAAAAAAAATAATAGAGATCTAGATCTACTGAGTCCTTAATAATTTTTGAAATATTGATTCGATGTCATTCTGGTAGTGGTGGGGTACACAGAAATGTCTTCCAAATTTAGCGAATACATTAATTTTATCTGAAAAACAATCTTAACGAGTATGTCAAGAAATATATGAGAGCGAAATCAACCGACTCTTTGCATGTTTATTACTGTGTTGCTCGGTATAAGTTACAACAATCACGCTATATTATTTTGTTTACGCGCCATATTTTCCTGATTCACTCTTGCGTAAATTACATTTATATGGGAACAATTGAACAATTAATGTGCGGCATACCTAGTTCAGAGTTGATAAAATATATAAATACAACATACCTCTATATCGTTATCCATTTTAATATCCAGAAAATGTCAAAAGTTATCATGTAAACACTGATACATAAAGGTCACTGAACTCACATGTGCTTTCAAGTATGACGTCATATTTATCGGGAAATTCCCAACGTCATAATCGATGTCATTTTGGCAGGTTTTCCTGGAGAACGGCTCAAATGTAAATCATTGAGAAATGTGGATCACAATGAAATTAACTTTTATTTGAAATATTTTATTTTCCAGATTTGTTTTGAAAATATGTTCGATATTTGCCCGACGAAGTGCAATTGTTGTAGCCTCTTTAAGGTTTTGATTCACTGTAACCTAGCACTCACGAGACAAAACATATAACTTCAACGGTAAGTATATATAACCTTCTAAGTATCTATTGTAACAATATACAGCTTTGAAATTATATAAACAGTTTTTATGAACAAGTCTACTATATATCGGTTCATATATTATTTTGTGTGTGCAAAATTGCATTTATGTATAGGAAAATTCTAATTTAATGCAAATAAAAGAAAGAAAAAAAGACAGAAGTTACTTTTAAAAAGATACTTGGTCAAAATAAAAACAAACTTGCTAGCTTGCATAATTATGTTATTTTCATTTTTTTTATACATAAAGAAATGATTGCAATTCTTGCATAATAATTTCTTGTAGCTAAGAAAACAACATTTTGTAAACAGAGAGAAATACTAAAAATCTAATTAAATCGTACGTAACCTTTCTTATGTAAAAATACTTTTGTAACAATTGTCAGAATAGTCAATGGTAAGAATTAACGATGGATAAATCACAATCACTCTTTCTGCAGATTTTTATACTTCACAACAGCAGCTGTCAAGCGCTGTGTGACATTTGTAAAAAGTTTCCCCTTTGTTCACTTCAGTGTTCTTATAATTTCTGGTCCTTCGGAATTATTGATTTCAGCACGTCTTAGAGACGAAAATTAAGTACCGCTCAAGCCGGTGCTAGGGGTCATAAGGGATGTTGCACCTTTTCATTATCGCTCATGTACATACTCAATCAAACTGGGTCTGCAATTCTCATGCAATTTTATTGTGATTATTGCTTTCGGGGTATCACTCTTTCTCTTGATTTAATTAATCTTGGAAAATGGAACATAAACATCTACGCGATAGGCAATTACATAGATAGATGCTTGATTGATTAGTATACAAATATACATGTATATGAGAATTATAAAAATTATATCAATTGAACACACCAATCATTGGACACTTATTGAACATCATAAAGAGACAGTACATGATAAATTCTGATTTTCTTGTGTATTGAATTTAGAACTGTCCTTGATATTTATCATAACTGCAAAATCTATCCTGTACATTTTAATTTCAAAAACTATACTTAGAATTTTATTTTAGAAATGGCAAGAACTATAATTTACATTTTATCTTAGAATGGCAGGATTTCGGTTTGTTGTATCGAAATGACCAATGCAATTCTTATATTTATGTCTTCCCTATAAATTTAACAAGAAGTCAAACTGAGTTTAGGCAGTCTTCGGACGAAAAATAGCCAAAACTGTAAGTAAATATTGTTATTTTAGTTATGTGTATTCTATTTTGACGTGTGACAGATATTGACTGGCTTGATCAAACTTTTGTCTAGACTCGCTTAATCCTACGTTTGGCAATTGACAAGTCTTGTTTTATCCTATCTATAAATATACACTTGTCTATAAAGATATTTCTTTAATTAATTATGAGAGAGAAAGAAATACCATGTAGAGACAGATTTCAGTTTTCATTAAAAAGATATAAATGTTTTATTTAGTCTTTTAATGCTTGATACAAAAGACAGTTTAATTAAAAAGACACACCTCAAGAGCAGCTGTCCTTATAAAATCGATTGCCCCAATTTCTTGAAATTTTTCTGGTACGATAATTACGTAGTATTTGTCCTCTTCCAAATATTGCTCACAATGTCTTTGAATTTCAGTTTTAAAGAATTTTATAACAAGTGTGAATACTGTTAAGGCCGGGAGTGTTTTTCCATTTTCATCTATCAGATGAACGTCGTTGGTCTGGGAAAACAAAATAATATACGAACATATGAATAGAAAGAACGATTATACTTGTAATTTATAAACATTCATTCATAATATACCACATAGTGAGACAAATAAAGTCATTGTCAGGAATAAGTTTCAGTTTAAATGATGCTAAAATTGACTGGTATCTGCACGATTCCTATCGTTTCAAATATTGCATTTGAATATGCTTGATCAATCAATTGATCTATATTATGCCTTAAATTAGATTGAATTATTTCAGTTCGGTTGGGTATCAAGCAATGATCTTAATTGCAAACAATAGCTTCCCTCCTTTAAAATTGAGGTTCAAGGAAACAATTGCTTGCCCATGATAAGGTTAACACGTTTACGCCGCTCGGTAACAAACTAACAATAAGGATAGAATAATGCTTAACTCTATCTTTGACATTCAAGTTCATACTAGAGTTATCTATTCAATACGGAAGACGGACAAAACCCCACCAGTTAAAACCCCACCACTCAAAATTTTATAGAGTGGACAAAACCCCACCACTAAATTTTATAGAGTGGACAAAACCCCACCACTAAATTTTACAGAGTGGACAAAACCCCACCACTTACCAATTATTGGGCAAGATTTGATGAATTAAAATATAATATAATATACAGTACACATTTTCACATTTTATTTTTTAATTTCAATATAACATTTGTGTAATAGAATCTACTGGTATAAGAGATTATACAAATAATTTACAAACTGTTAAATCAACATCAAAGAGTAGTCATTTATTTGAGACTGTGCCACATTTATGACCTTGAATTATCCATTATTTTAAGTTTCTTCAAATTCATGTCTTCAATTTATTTATATAAAAAATAAACTACTTACTATTAATCAAGAATGTAGCACATTTTCATCAATTAATGATTAGAAAATAGCACATTTTTATAGCACATTTCTAATTTATTCAGTTCAGACAATTTTCCTTCATTGTACTTCATTGTACTTAGTTTAAGTGGATACTGTGGCTGATAGCCTGAAGAAACTCGGGTACAGGTCTTCTCCTTATTGATGAGTTGTTCACACATTCTTTTGAGTTTCATCTGCTGCACAATTGTTTGTTTTTTAACATGTTTACAAGAAAGTTTTGTCCACTCTATAAAACTGAAGTGGTGGGGTTTTGTCCACTCTATAAAATTAAGTGGTGGGGTTTTGTCCACTCTATAAAATTTAGTGGTGGGGTTTTGTCCACTCTATAAAATTTTGAGTGGTGGGGTTTTAACTGGTGGGGTTTTGTCCTACATTCATTGAATACACGGATAAGACGAAACTTAGTACTTCAAAATATCGAAAATTCTATAACAAAAACTGGCAATCGCATGTGTATTGCAATTGCTCTTATAAACTAGAATGGAAATTTGGTAATTGCATATGAAGATATACAACAAAACCTTACCTCTTTAAATGATTTTACCAACTTTATCGAAATGTTTTTGAAAATATAATACTGCACGTGTTCGTTTTCTAGTTCAAGGTCATCATAAAAACTTTCAGCGTCATATCCATAACCATGTAAGGTTTTGCCATCCGGTGTAATGATAACAGTACTAGGCGCTGATATTGTTAGAAGATTATCACATTTTGACCACTGCTTGCATTTTATTCTTATCCGGCCTTCATTGTAATCGTCTCTCGTGCAGAATGCCAATCGTGATGTCTCCATATTGAATTCTATTGCCACTGCAATTAATGGCTGAAAATAACAAACGCACACTTCATATCATATTGGGCAATAAAGCTTGAACTGTTAATTGTTAAAGAACTATAATAGGATATTTTGTCAAAATAAAACAAAAAGCACGTCTGAGCGAGTGGGTGTTATCTTTAAGAATTGCTTCTTCACCTTTTTAAATGGCCTCGTATGCATATTATAATACGGTATGTATCATTTATTGCACAAACTATGCTGCACATAATTTATTACGTTTTAAGCTAGATGAAAAGCTTTCATTAGTAAATGACGCCATAAAGAATTCTTTTGTGAATGAATTATAATGTTTTTTAATACTACATGGTAATTGTTTAGTTGGATAAAAATACTATGTAGAGAAGTCAATTTATTTATGTCGACATAATGTGTTATTTCGAAGCATGTTGACATACTATAAATTGTTTCTCTCTCTCTCTCTCTCTCTCTCTCTCTCTCTCTCTCTCTCTGTCTCTCTCTCTCACCCGCTCCCTCTCTCTCTCTCTCTCTCTCACTCTCTCTCATAGTAGATTAATCATCCGCGATATATTGTTTTGATGCATACCTTGTTTGAAAATAAACCCTCGACAAGTCGCAGCCTATGATTATTCCCCTTGACTTTTTAGCTCACCTGAGCTAGCTCAGGGTGAGCTTTACGGATCGTTGAATGTCCGTCGTCCGTCGTCTTTCGTCCGTCCACACTTGTTCGTTATCACTCTAGCGGTCACATTTTGCCTCAATCATCATCAAACTTTGTCAGAATGCTTATCTAGGTAATAGCTCGGATGAGTTCGAACATGGGTTATCTTTGATAAAAGATAGGTCACAGGACCTAAAAATAGAGAAACCTTGTCAACACTCTAGCGGTCACATTTTTGCCTCAATCATCATTTAACTTTGTCAGGATGCTTGTCTAGGTAATAGCTCAAATGTGTTCGAACATGGGTTAGCTCAAATAAAGAAGTAGATCACAGGAGCTTAAAATAGAGAAACCTTGTTAACACTCTAGCGGTCACATTTCTGCCTCAATCAAACTTTGTCAGGTTGCTTGTCTAGGTCATAGCTAAAATGAGTTCGAACATGGTTTATCTGAAATGAAAAACTAGGTCACAGGAGCTAAAAATAGAAAAACCTTATTAACACTCTCGTGGTCACATTTTTGACTCAATTATCATCAAACTTGGTCAGGATGCTTGTCAAGGTAATTGCTCGGATGAGTTTGTACATTCGTCATCTCGGACAGGAGTTAAAAATAGAAAAATCTTGTTAACACTCTAGTGGCTACTGTTTTTATCCAAATATCCTGGAAATTGTTCTGAAAGTTTGTTTTGATAATTTCTAGGTTATGTTCGAATATGAGTCATCTCAGATGAAAAACTAGGTCACACAGCCCAAATATGGAAAAAACCTTGTTAACACTCTAATGTTATTATGATCAAACTTGGTCAGGATGCTCGTCGAGGTAATAGCTCGAATGTGTTCGAACATGGGTCATCTCGGATGAAAAACTAGGTCACAGGATCTAAATATAGAAAACTCTTGTTAAAACTAGTAAATATTGTTTTGATCCAAGTATCCTGGAAATTGGTTTGAACATTTGTTATGATGATTTCTAGGTCAAGTTTGAATATGGGTCACATGGGGTCAAAAACTAGGTCACAATGCTAAAATATGGATAATCCTTGTTAACACTCTAATGGTCACATTTTTGACTCACCTGTCATGAAACCTGGTCAGAATACTTGTCAATGTAATTGTTCGGATGAGTTCGATGGGTCAGGTGAGCGATCTAGGGCCATCATGGCCCTCTTGTTGTAGAATTTCTGCAACAATGTATAAATTGTCGCGGCTTTCTTTCTCGAATTATTATAGACAAATGAGGGATAAAATATAAAGTCAAACAATGGACACAACCGGCCATTGGAGTCAAATATTTCTTGCTGTTTATAAAATATCGAAGTTTTTTCCGCGTAATTATCTACGATTTCGGCAAAAACTCGCGGGTTGGTTTGTTGACTTTTTATGATAGAACGATATAATGTCTCATAGGTTGGAAATGACCTCAACGGGCAACCAAAGTATTCCTGCTTTTTTATCTTGAGCTGTAAGCAGTGTTTACTCGCTAGAGTTTGTCTTAATGGGGAAAACATTTTCAGCCGCTTGTTTCAAATACTGATCCAGGTACAGTTTCGTTTAGAGCTCATCAGTATTTTGGAAAACCTTATTTTGAATTTAGTTGGCATATTTACATTATTAGTAAAGAGAGGACAGATTATATTCACAAACAATTCTTTATGTTTTTAATATTGTATTGATTTTTTGTAAAAAAAGATGCAAACATATACTACAGCTACCTGTGTTAAGCGTGGCGGTCCACCCTGTTTTGTATGTTGTTCAAATTGCTTCCCTTTCTCCATTTTCAATCTTAAATACAAAAAGATGAATCGTCTGATGTTGATACAAACAATCCAATTATATCAATACATGTCGATATTGCAAATAACCCTAAAGAAAATAGAATTATATATTACGTTATTTTTTAAACATGTTATATTGTTTTTGACATGGTGAAAATGGAAATGTATTTCCGAGATTCGTGAACTGTTTTATGTAGAACTTGGATAATTTTATTCAAATTTTCAGATCATGACATCACCTTGTTTTATCCAGAATTATCATTTTCATTGTGACAAATTGACCCAAAAATGTAAAAAAGGGTTGCAACATCTATTTTCAAAATAATTCTAATAATTTCATATCTTATATTTTCTCGCTCTGTTTACCTCCACGGTAAAGATTTAATGTTTTTATAACTTTAGTTGAGTTTAAGAATGTCTCCGCTATTTAACATATACAAGATTTGTATATAAACAGAATAAATTCCGGAATAAAATATCATTTTCTATTTTAGAGTTTTAACTGTCCGGCAAAGATTTTGTGATTGCCCAATTTGATCTTTAAAAAACTTAATTTAGATATATACTTATATAGCTTTATACACTTTATATGTTACGTGTGTTATTAAAAGCCGTTTGGTATTTTTAATTACATAATATACAGGATGTTGTTTGTAAATGCCATTCTGCTGCAAATGTAATCTATTAGAACAAAGATCAAGGAGGAAACGCGCCATTCACAGAACACAACACAATCACGATATAGCAATACCTGGACACCGATAAAGAGTTCAGACGTGCACCGAACAAAAACTGTAGAGGCATTTAAGATTTCAATTTCTCTTACCGTTGCTTCTTGTTGATATGAAATAATGAATCAACTAACTATATACTTCAGATTCTTGATGCTCAGTTACATGGTTGACAGGTGTGTCAGTTATCTGAAATATAAATTGTACAAGATAAACAATATGAATAACAAGGGATCAAATAAAGCTGATAACAAAAATGTATATTATTTGCAGATACGTTACCAGCAAATGCTTAAGTGCTATCTGATGTTTTTTTCTATTTTACATTTCATCTTTGTCATGTTTAATTGCTGAGGTGGTGTCAGGGACATGGAGGGTAACTTGCACTTGCCAATACCGTAGCTGAGCCTGCAATATTTTGTAATTGTGCCGTTGTCAGAGTTATTTAACTAAGGATTTCATATTGTATCCAATTTCGGAAATTGGAGTTTTACAGATAGTTATAATTAATTTAGAATTATGCAATGTAGGTACAGTAAATTCAGTCTTTTTCTTTAGACTGTTTTATACCGCCTATATAATGCGATATATATACAATATGCAATACTCTATTAATTAGCCACGAAAAGCTTAAAATGGAGCCAACATGGCAAATTAAGATCTGCTGGCTACGAATTATTATCGACGGCAGTGGTAAATTTAAGCTATCACACGCGCCCTCCTTAAACCGACTTAAACATTATGCAGCATTAATCACAACACATAATCTATATTTATTTCAATATACAACATATCTTATAACAGTAAATTGATCTCTTATTATGACTTTGTACAAGTCATTCTGATCGCTGAATGAATTATAAGTTCTCATATTATCTAAAAACTTAAACTTAAACGAAACATAAATTGTAGTATAAAAGTAATATAATTCACAAACAAAAGAATACAACCTGAAAACTACATGCCCGATTTAAGCTTTTATATTTGATTGTTAAAAATTGTACTATCAATAGTTTACTTGTTTGATATGATTGATATTGTTTCAAATTGCAATAAACCAATTTAAATATGACAATCAATTGAGACAATATAGCGGCAATTTATTAGAGTAGTGTTGACATTCAGCACATAAAGATGTAATACTATATGGCTGTGAATAAACAATTGTCTGCAATATAACCCTCGTATAACGGCTGTGGTTATGTAAACTTACAATTATTAATACAGAGACATATAACCTGTCAGAGATCTTTATAACTTCTAATATATAAAGTTATACATTTATATAAACCAACCCCCTAAATATGAATACATAGATTGAATATTTTTGTTGCTGATTCCATTACCATGTGCGTTTGCTTTTGGTGCCAATCTACTTTTCATCATAATATTATCTATATCCATCTTTAAGTAAAATGATTTAATAAATAAAGTTGGTCCTTTCCTAAAACAGAACTGCCAGTGTCATCTAATGACACGATGCATTCATATTGTGGCATTTTTTAGTGTGTAGACTTCAAAACATAGCATATCTACTTTGTGTGAAGTCGATATGTGTGGATTTTATATTTATAAAGAGACAGTGAAGCAATTTGCAATATTTTCAAAATTCAAATTTGAGCATAATATATCTTGAAAGTATTGTTAATCACTAATATATGTTTATCATTAATACATTAATTTATCAAAAACATAACGAATAAATATATTATAAAATATACAGTAAAACCCTCAATTAAGACCACCATCGGAACTAAAATAAAGTGTTCTTAATTGCGGGATGGTCTTATTTGTGGGTATTCTTATCATTACTTACACACTTTATGACCAAGGTCTTTTTTAGTTCCTGGGCGGTCTTTAGTTGGGATTCTACTGTACTTCAAAAGCTTGTTACTGAATAAGGCAGACACAAAATGACTATAAGATCTACAAATTAGATGGAATGGAAGAGAATAAGAAATAATTGTCCCTATCTAAACAATTAAATATGAAGTTATGCACGTAGCATTACTAAATGTCTGGATAAATAAATCAAATATATCGTGTTTTATTTTTTTCTCTTTAAATGATCATGAAATACCTGAAAAATCATTGATAATAATGACTTTTTTTGGCAATTTTATGCTAGTGTTTACTTATACTTCACTGACAAGCGAATTTGTTTTTCGATTCCAACGTTAACAAACCTTATATATAAAGTTGTATATGAATTCCTTAAACATTGCAATGTTTCGTGTAAGTCTAAAATTTGTAAATGTGTTTATTTTATATATCTTCTTACCTTGTCAAGCAAACAATCTATTATATCTTAATCAACCGGTGCCAATAAATCCAAATCAGTTCAGGAACCCGGACATATTCCAAAACAGCCCGAAACGATTACGCACCGTGTTTTACATTCTTATTCCGTATTACAATGTACCCATGTAACAAATACTGTTCACGTTTAACACGACCCATTTATAGATATATTTTTAAATATGTTGACTGAATTAACACACGTCGTTTTAAGCAACACCTTGTATTTCAAATAATCATTACATACTAGATATTATTGTTAAATCACTACACCAGTTTGGTTTGACACTTATATCTAAACCGCCAATCACAGAGTTGTTTATGGTTTCACTTGGACACACATACCAGAAGTAATGGTTCCTTGAAATGTAATAAATTTCTAGGTAAACAATAATTCATTTACTTCCGGTGTAGCGTGAGATTCGTCAGACCCGTGAAAAATGTAAGATCTTACGAATCTCACGGGAGGGTCGTGAAAAATGTCAGACGTGAGAAACGTAAGACTATATTTAGTCGAGATCATTTCCTGTTGCAATTAAATTAGGCTAAATACTGTTAATATTTCATTGCATCAATAAAGTAATGGTTTAAGCGAAGGAGTTTGTCTGTTTTACCAGTAAATGATAACAATTTTAATCAATGTTCGGCTTTAAAATAGCCAGGCTCGGATGTTCATGATTTTCTACAAATTAATTTGGATTTATATATTTTGCATACTATAAAGTAACTAATGGACCACTCCTTATGTTTTTAAAAATAAAAATACAGTAGTGAATGTTGCTGTCCATACACAAATGCCGAGTAGTAAATTGAAATCATCTTGTTCGGCCCTAACTAAACTCGACGGAGTCGATCATCTCGGCCACGATCTGTATCTGTTCAAATAATCCATATGATTTGTTAAGAAATTATCAACAGAAGTTTTATAATAAATAATAACACCAGGTATTATTAATTTCACATAGGGTAATACTTGAACCATCACCTTTCTTAGGCTGGTGCTTTAAACCTATAGATACCTTTTACCACAGACACTTGGGGTGCCTTTAAAATTCAAATAAAATATATCTTTATCAATCCCAGGCACATGTACTGATCATATATGTAAAAAAAAACTTAATATAAGCCGTTTTGAAAAAAAATCATATTTCAAGGTCTATAATAATACACACACACGAGCTCCACATCCCAAGTGTCTGTGCCTTTTACCTGCACTGTGCTGTCCTATAAACTTACATGCTAGAAGATCTTTCGTTTTATCAGAGGAGACTGTCAGTCAAGAGACAGGGTCCCTACAGATTCTTTCAAGCATCACTGGTTGCAGAATACACTATTGCAGGAATGAGTGGGTACCAAATTTATTTCAAGCACCAAACTATAATCTTCCTGGCAAGTTCAAACACAACCATAGTTAGGTCAAGTAAGTTAGCTGCTTAACATTTTATATTAATTTTCCAAATAATGTATAACCCCAAAAAACATGTTTCAATCATAAACATGATCTATAGACTTGTAATCAAATTTTCACTTGTTAAGTCATTACAGTCAGGTAATAAACATAAAGCAAGATTTTTCTATAAATACAATATTTATTTTCATTGCGTGTTATGAACATTAATATTTCATGAGTGGTGGTTGCCACAAGTGAAACTTGATAATTTTCATACTACAAGCTATTTATAGAAAATACTTAAATTTACTTGTTTATTCTATGCATTTCTCTTTTTATATATCACAATATGAAAGACTAACTCGGCTGAATATAGCAGAAAGGAGTCTGGCAAGACACCGGTGAAAATATGTTTCACTGCGGTGAAAAAAAATTTTTTTGCAGTGAAAATAAAGAAAATGAAAATAAGCATTTAATTTCATCAATATTTCTCATCATTTTATTTATAAGTATATAATAAAGAAACATAACCTGGAAATACCATATTTTCAGCTTGGAAAGGGGTGCACATCTCTTCGAACTGTTCTTTTATATTCGTTTCTGCCGGGTTTTATAATTTTCAATTAATGCAATGGGTCTTTATTTAAACACAATATATTTAAGCTCAATTTGAAATAAGATTATTGCATAATTTGAGAAAGCAGAAAAGAAAAGAAAAAACATTCATAACTGACATAGCTAATACATGTATAAATGTCACGGTTATCCAATGAAAGAGCGTCGTTGCAAACGTGAAATATTATAGATATATCTATTTATTTACGTAAAATGTAAAGGTTATGGTTATGGATAGAAGGAAATAATGAGCGGGATATTGTACGAAGTCACAAATTCAACCTCTATTAAAAGGGGAGCGAACGGACAATCATATCGCAGTAATCTCCCCGGAATTGTCTATTTATCAACCAGAGTTTCTTGTCTAATATTATTACCGTTGCAAAACTTCGCCCTGACGTATTTTTCGTTCGATTGGATGGTATATTTTTAAGTTATTTTAATCTTGTATTGTGGCACCATCTTTATTGTAAACAGGGAAGAGAACTATTTATCAATAACGTATTAAAAACTGAATCCAAAGTTCTGTCACATAAATATTTATTTTTAAAGCAAATACATTTTATGACATATTATCAACTCATATCGCTGTATTTTATTTCGGGTGAAGTACATACATAAAATTGTTGAATAAAATTGTGTAACAACAACAAAAACAACAACAACAACAACAACTACAACAACATAAACGTCTAACCACAGCTAAATTTAAGTGTATACTATGTATACAGTGGTGATAATTCATTATAAACGAAAAGCGTTGCCAGCTTCAAAAATGATGAATTTTAAAACTGACAATTGGCCGCTAGGCCGACAACTTTACACATCTCCAATATATACGTATGTTTTTATGAACAACCGAAGTATGCAAAGTAAACAACAGACGTTTATGTAACAAGACAACATTTGAGAAACATTTACGTACATTCACATAATAAATACACTTCACTGAAAGCAAAAGTTTCAGTCTTTAGATACGTTCTTTGAAAGGTAGCTTTAGTTTTAAAATCCTTAAAATCCCCCTTACTGACATAAAGACGGTATTACGAAATGTAATAAATGTTTCTTCAAAAAATTATAATATAGCGAAAAGTTTAAACCACAAAAGATGTTCAATACGACTGAATAGACATATTTGACAGGCTTGGTTTGTCTTTTAATGTTTGTCTGTGATTTACAGGCTTTATCACCCCTGACCCCTTTTCAAAATTATAGATTTTTTTTCCGCCAACTATTTAAATGGAGAAAAACGGAGTCCCTAAAGAACGTTCTGAACGTTCATGGCGCAATTTACCGACCACGCCCAAGCACCGGTTTCATCTTGATAGCCGCAAAGTTTTGAATTTAGAAACATCCACAAATGTGTTACAAAGTCAATGTTTCTAAATTCCAAATGACATCATTTCTATGTTTGAATAACAAATTTTGCTTTAGTTGGGCTAGAAGGCGTTGGCAGTATTTTAATTTAATGTTTCACAAAGCAATATCATTATCAATGTACAAAACTTGACCCGCCAACCATATAAAGCATGGATAAACTGCACCTGACGGCTCTCTAGAGATGGCTTATGCCAAAAGGTATTAAAAGATAGGTAAACCTTACTTTACAAGTTTACAAATGAAACAAATCCCTTAACACAACTTTAATTGTCCAATGAAATAAACGCCTTCAAATTACTTGCATGTTCTAATTTTTCTGTAGTATTCAAACGAGCCATCCGTATATTTCCCATCGGACATGATAACACTTATATATATAATTAAGGAAAAGAGACAAGGGAAACATCCGCTTCTAACTAAATTGGTTATTTAGGAATATATAGCGTGGAACGTGTTCCAACGTTATCTAAACTTTTGATTTCGCAAGGGCGTTCAACATTGCTTAGTTAAAAGAAACTCGCGCTCCTCTTCTGACAGTTAGCTTTAAATATCGTCACTAGGTCATAAAGAATCTTTGATAGTGTTTTAGAAATCCGAAAAAATGGTCTTAAGATGTGGTTCAACATTTAATCCTGGTAATGATGAAATTTTGAATTTAGAAACATCCGCATATGTGTTCATATGGTGGTTATCGGAATCTTCAATGTGACACTTTCGTGTCACTCCATGAAAAGCGGCGTATGGTTCCCAAATAAAAGAATGCGTAGAAAGCCATAGTTTGACTATATTTTTATTAACTATTATAATTTTATTTTATCTGTTTTATTAATTTTACTGTTATTTATTACTGCTATTTATTACTGCTATCGATTGATTTATAACTGTTATCGTGAATCCACTGTAAACCTGGAAGAATTCGATTCATTAAAGTGTTCTGTCTTTGACATATTGCAGGTGCTTATGATACTGTAAATCTCTGTCTAATACATGCATATAAACCTTTGAGAGTATTTAATGTTAACATTTAATTTGTTCTGTTTTGTTTTGACATCATACACAAACGGAAGATATGCTTGGCAAAATTCTAACCTTCATTATATTTTTGTTGCATTTGATAAATTGACAAAACTCCCTTTTATGCTCGGAAAAGGATATTTATCGACTTATAATTGCCTGATTAACGATGACTTTGAAAAAGTCTTATTCCTTATACAGATTCTAAAATAAGCACAATACGTGAAGCCCACTCTGATGCATTCACTTGGTTTATTATGTCCGGTTCTTCTACCATTTTTGATCAGGTTATACCTATTTGTGTTAACCAGACTATGGTGTAACACTGATGTCCTCTTATCCATTTTTACATTTCAAAAACTCTTTTGGAATGTTCTCTTGACATAAGAGAACCCGACCTCTTCATAGGCCTTCTGTTATGTGGTGTGATACTGATGGTATTTTTTCTTCTCGAACCTATGGTCAGAATTCTTTCCTTTGCCATAGCATGCAAGACAAATTGTTTTTTTTTGTTTTTTTTTGTAATCGACATTTGAAGGATGCATGATTATGTTTACCCAAGTAAATGCTTCCTACATTGAGAAACAAGATGAAATTGTAGTTTTCCGGTTTTTGACCCGTTTTCGAGTCTTTAAATAGGTTTCTTTCTCTCAATTTGATCCCTTGTTTCTGTAGTTAACTAATCTTTAAAATTGTGTAACTTGATTAGAATCTATATTGTTCAGAAATTATCACTTTTTTGTTTAAATTTACGTTGAATGTATCAGAGATTGTACTGTGAATTTGTTCTTGGTTTATCAGGTGACGTTATATAATAAATTACGTAATAACCCGTATGTTTACCCCAAGTAATGCTTGTTATGCTTACACTATTTCTCATTTATCATTTCATTTACTAATAAATATTT